ACAGTGCTACAGTTTTGTTGCTTGTTTAGTGGAAGAAAACTCATTGATGACATATTTCACATTTTCCCTATTTTGAGGATTTAAATGGGTGTGTTTCATATTAACTTTGCACAAGAAGTGGAAGTTAGTTGCACAAGAAGTATTTTTTTATTAAACTGTATCAAATCGATTTGAAATATATCGTATCAAATTGAGTTCACTGTATCGAGATATGTATCGTATCGTGGTCTATGTATGGAGATATGTATCGTATCGTGGTCTATGTATCGAGATATGTATCGTATCGGCAACGTCTTAATGATACCCAGCCCTAATTGCTATATATGTGCCAAAATAACTGTAAAACACAAATAATATAGAAAATGACAAAGATGGTCTTGATTTGGTCTCGATGGGTTGTGGTATTGGTCTTGCCTTAGTCTCGACTCTCAGGGGTTTTGGTCTTGACCTGGTCTCGGGACCCTGTGGTCTCGGATTGGTCTTCGTCTCGATTAATGCAGTTTTGAGTACAACACTACTAGAAGCATTTGGATAATTTAAGCCATGGATTTGCCAGTCTGCAATGGTGGTATGGATATGTCATTGCTCTGTCTGGAATGTTCCACAGTATGACATTAAACAGCTCTACCTTACATTTATTAAATTACAGGCGGTTTTACTACTCACAGATACCAAGAATTCTGATGAGCAAGGTTGCATTTCCATAGAGCTGCCCTGTAAATTGGCCTGGTTTGGTCTCTATGAAGACAGAAAGATTTAATACAATTCTGTGTCTGTGGAGAAATGCTTCTAATGGACCCTCTACCAAAAAATGTTAGGCTACACAATGCACCTTTAACTTGAAAACTACCACTTTATGACATCACAAGGTGGAAAGAAACTATTTTGTGTAATATAAGACGTCTAACATCGCAACATAGATCAGAAAATAGCGTAATATGAGTCTCACCTTGTTGTTCTTCTGAGTTAATTGAATAAAACATGCAATGCTACCCTTTACCAGAAGAGGGAGCGAAAGAGCCGAAGAATAACGGCAGAACACCCCAGAGCCCCGCGGAGAATCATAACAGAGTGTCAGCTGCCATTACGCTTCCTAAACGTTATCTTTACGTTGATAACACTCCCCGGAGTCTGCACACACGCCCGGGCCTGCAAACACGAGGCAAATACGTACATTATTACGCGGTTATTATTAGAGAAATGGAAAAATAGGCGACATTCACATCACATCATCAATTCATTTGCGTCAGAGCACTATCTGCATCCCATCTGTCCCGTCGCTGTGACTTGAATAGCGGAAGCGCAGGTCTTTACTACATACAGTATAGCTTGTTTTTTTTTTTTTTTTTTTTTTTCCCCTCAAATTAGCATGACTTTTGAGAATAAACGAGTGCTGCTACATTGCTGCTTGTGCCTATATATTAGTGGTGGAAAAAGTACTCAAGTAAAAGTATAGATACCGGAACAACAAAATAGCCAATAGTAAATAGCTAATAGTAAAATCGCATGAAAAAAAAAAAAAAAAAAAAAAAATACGTTAAAGTACCTGTTTAAAATGTACTTAAAGAGTAAAACTATTTTTTTAAATTTATTTGTATGTTTTTGTTTGTTCAATCAATAAATGTGTTAAAAAAAATTTCTCAAACAATAATAAAACATACTTTCAGTACAGATACCTGCTCTCAAACTTAGTGAAGTGCAAGTAAAAAGTACACTTTAAAATGTACCTAAGTAAAGTACCAATAATTAAGTACAGTACTTTACTACTTTTACTTTCCACCACTGTCTACTAGCCTATTTATTTTGTTTTCAGAGATTTAAAAAAAGGGTGAAAGTATGGTGATGCATTAGTCAAAGCAAAGTGAATCAGTTTAGCTCATTAAACCCATAGTATGTCACTTTTTTTTTTTTTTTTTTTTTTTTTTTTGTTAAACTAACTAAAATAAAAGCAGGATTTTTCATTATGGATGAAATATTGCACTGAACACAAAAATATGCAATTGTGAGCTGGCTTGCATCTATACAAACCTGACTTGTTTGGCCTGGAGTAGGGCATAGTCTTTCTTCGTTCCATAGAAATGTTGTTGCTTTGGCAGTAATTTTACAGTATGACTCAAAACAGTATGTATGGCTTAAACTTTTTATTTACATCATGCAATTCATTTTTCACCACCAGAAACAGACGTTTAGTAAACTTTTTTTTTTTTTTTTTCCCAAATCAGTTTCTTTCAGATCAAATTGAATTCTGGCATACTCAAACATTAGCTGCACTATGACTTCATTTTTTTGACCTGTACTGCTCTCTAGTGGGCCGACAAAATATTGCATCTTTCTTTTACATGCAGAATTGGTGATTTCATGATTTGATTGATTGTTGTGTTGGTGATCTTGTAACCTAACACATTTTTTGCCAGATTGAGTTTTCTGTCCCATTCTCCTGCTTCAGCTGTAAGTGTCACTGGCGCTGTCCTTGGCCAATCAGAATTATTTTTACACCCATAAATACACAAGCCACCCCAGTCGAGGCAGGTCATTTTTGTAATTTCCAAAAAACCTTGAAAGCGCTATTTACTCTATGAGGGTAACAATAAGCAAATGTTTTCCCATCAGAGGTGAGAATAGCACTGAACAATGTTACAGGTAATGTTACTTCAAACTAATATTACTCAAGTAACTCCTCCTAAATATTTACTCAAGTAAATGTAACTGAGTACCACCCACCAGTGGCGGAGTTAGCAATTTGGGGGCTTTAGGAGAACTTGCGTTTGCGTTTGCACTATAATGCACCTGTTTTTTGTTTGTTTGTTTGTTTTGTTTTTTAAATATATTGTCTTCTTTTTATCCATTGTTCTTGAGGCACGTACATCTCTGTTTATTTGAATTACAGTGGATTGTTAACTTGACTTATTAGTTAAGTCACCTACTAGATAACCAGAGCTGAGAGTAGTTTTATTTTTTTGCTAGTACAATAAATTTTTTGTTTACATCCCTTATGTAAGATTATTATTGTTTTTCTTATGGTTATTGTTTAAAAGTAAACTACTCTCATTTAATATCATATTGAGAGAAAATAAAATTGCTCTGAGGCCTCGGCCATTGGTGGCACTGAGGGCAATTGGTTGCGGGCCCCTCCAGGTTTGGGGGCCCTAGGCAGCTGCCTACTTTTGGCTAATGGTAGCGCCGCCTCTGCTAAGGGTCCCTATTATGCTATTTTCCGATCTAGTTATATTGTATATTGTATAAGTTATAATGTTGTTTGCTCATCACAAACATACCTGGAGTTGTGTTTTGTTTCATTCACACGGACCCTGCATATGAAAGCTGAGGTCTTCTCTCAAACAGAAAACACTCTGTTCCCCCTTGTGATGTCATGTGGTAATACAGAACGTGCCCCATACACACTCACTAGAATCATAATAATGGATAATTTCAACCCTGGAATTGCCAATCTCTACTGAACTAAAGGCAAAAGGCAGCTGTTAATTTGAAAACTACCACCACATGACATCACAAGGTGGAACAGAGCATTTTGAGCATTGGAGATGTAGACAGACTAATAATAATGTATTACTCAAACATGCATGAACAAAGCAAAATGCAACTCCAGGTAGACTTTTGATGATGCAATATTATAACAGAGTTTAAAGCTCACAAAAATCCATTTAGTGTAATATAGGACCTTGAAACAAAACAGTAAAAAATCAGCATATTTCATCAATATAAAACAAACACTTTTCAAGCACATTTTAAATTTATTTCTAGACAGACTGACAGCGCGATTAGCTGCTCGTCCTCACAGAATGACTTCCCTTTTCCATTATTTGTTATCTCTTCTTAGACAGCCCCATCCTATTGTCAAGATTTTGACAGCTCAGCACAGTCCAGCTAATTATCCGTCACACCAAACACACTATCACTTGAGTATACTTCATAATGAACAAAGCAAATATTTTCATTTTTATTTGAGTGTGAAGAGACTTATTTAACACGACAAGCTCCGATCCCTTCCAGTGTGCGCTAGAAGTTGAGTTAAAGCTGCACTGTATAACATTTCTGTCTCTGTGGAGATGTTCATTGCTTTAGCTGGAATGTTGCACTGTATGGCAAAAATGAATGTACCATTTTTTATTTTTTCAATTACAGGTGTTTATAAATACCTTGAAAGAAAAAACATGCATTCTTACGGTTAATGGGCTGGCCTCTCCGCAGATCTAACCTGTAGCATGGCCTGATGGCACTACCTGGTTATTTTGACGGAGATACACAAGTTTAATGTCATGCTGTTGAATTTTCTGGCAAAGCAATACTTCTCTAAGGAAACAAACAGAAAAGTTACATAGTGTAGCTTTAAACCTACTTAGGAGGCAGTAGGGGTGTGAAAAAATATCAAAATATGAATATATCGTAATATTAAATTTGGTGATACAGTATCATTATCACGGGCTGCTGTATAGATATATCACCAAGAATATTTTTTGTATCTTTTAGGGTTTTTTGGGGACCACAGTACTATTCTGTTGTTGTTGTACAATTTTATTTTTGCATATTCACTGTTTTGATGATTAAAAGAGATGCATTTCATATGAACTTAGCACAAGAAGTGGTTTAATGAAGAAATATTGTCGATAAAATGTATTTGTTTTTTAAAAAAACAGCAATAGCTTATATCACAGGGTCTCATGTGTAATACATCGAGTATTGCCGTATCGTGATAACACTGTATCGTGAGCCATGTATCGTGTATCGTATCGAATCGGGACCCTGTGATTCCTAGCCCTAGTTGACAGTAAAGCTTATTAATATTGTATCCTCATTTGCCCACCTCTCTGCAACTCACTCACTTATTTAAAATTGCAAACTGTAGCGTTACAGGCATTGGTGTGCATTCATAAGTGCTTCCACCTGCATCATACCAACATTATGTGCTTTTATGCCAAGAATATTAAGTAGATGTTCTTTTATGTTTGAGCAAACCTGCAACCATAATTGAGTTGACATCATTTGTATGCATAACAGCTTTATTACTTTAGTTAAAAATATGCATTTCACACACAATAGTCAAAATGAGGTTGCAATCAGTGATGGATGGAGACTTTAATATTGTGCTGCGTACATTCACTCCAACAGTAACCAGAACTTTATCATGCGCTGCCACAAATCTAGTCTTGCACAGCATTAATTTTAAAGGTGCTCTATGTAACCTTTCACGCATATCTCCATGGAGGCAAGTGACGCTACATCGGCACAAGTCGAAGTTAAAGGTCAAATCTATTTTTTACAGGTATTTTTGACCAATAGCCAGAGGTGGGACCAAGTCATTGTTTGGCAAGTCTCAAGTAAGTCTCAAGTCTTTGACCTCAAGTCCGAGACGGACACGGAGACAAGCAGGAGAAGCGACATCACCACCTGTCTAAAGCACAGGTCAAATGTGTGGAGAGGTGACAATTCATGTTTTAAGGTATTTATTATAAACAGATATGGTTAATGCCATACTGCAGAACATTCCAGGCAAAGTACTCAAATCTCCACAGAGACAAAAAGTTGCATAGCGCACCTTTTAATACATACACTTAAAGTAGACATGTGTTTATCTTTCAACTAGTTTCTGACATAACCTATATCACCAAACACGATACTTAGCACGCACAAGAATGACTCATGCTATGAATATTAAACCTTTCTATTTCAGGCAATATATGCTTGCTCGAGGCCTCTGAGCCACATAGCTGATTGCTGGTACACCTCGTACAGTGTTAGACATTGCACCTGGCAACCACGGTGCTGAAAAATGAGTCTGCATTTTTAGCTAAAATAGATGGGCTAAACACAAACACAGACCTCTGCTAATTCACGGTGACTAAAACAGCATTTGTTAAATTAAGTGCTTTATTAGTAGTAGGCCGCTAGTCACAATGACAGCGAGGATATGGAAGGGCATCTGGTACAAAATCAAAACTGCAATATCAACATGTATTTAATTACTGCAAATGAGACAGGAGAAGTTGCTGTGAGTGCATGTTGTTATTGCTATTCTAGAATTTAAAGTAACCACCTATTTACAACATAATTAAAGGTCCTATATTACGCAAAATTGTGATCTTTGAGCCATGTTAGAATATTGTTACCTCATCCCTAGAGTTGTGTTTTGTTTCATTCACACACGTTTGAGTAATTCTGGATTATTATTAGTCTGTTTACATCTTCAAAACTCCGATTTTTCCACTTTGTGATGTCATGTAGTGGTAGATTTCAAGTTAACAGCTACCTTTTACCTTTTGTTCAGTATAGACAGCCAATTCCAGGGCTAAAATTATCCAAATGGTTCTAGTGAAGGTGTATGGAGTATAAAAATACAGTGGAGCACATCCTAAATAACCACGTGACATCACAAGGTGGACCAGAGTGTTTTTGTTTTGAGAGAAAAACTCAAGCCTAAATATGCAGGATTTGTGTTAAGAATGTGAATGAAACAAAACACAAATCCAGATACGTTTGTGAAGAGGAAACAACATTACAACATAGATCAGAAAAAGGTGTAATATAAATCCTTTAAACTTAAATGTTGAGTAAGTCAGTCCCTACTTACATAACGAAGGCAACAAAGTAATTACGTACAACTAAGAAATGTAACAAGAAAAACGGCAAATAGCTAGTAGTTTCTGCTGAAATGGTAGAGAAATAAAATAACGCCAGAGGGTGGGAAGCAGAGGTTGGAGGCCGTCTTCTAAATATATGTATCCTCTCTGGGCTGTCTGATGACTCCACTGCAGCGCCGGGTTGGGATTAGGGGTCAGCGCGCGATAAATCTAGCTAACAGTGCACGGGTCATCTTTGCAGGGCTTCACATCGCCTTGCAGTAACTGAATCATGACGGCCTTGGTCAGGTAGCTGGAGGTGCCTCTCTGTCCCACCGCGGGCGTGTTGTAAAAGGAGTCCATGCTGTCCTGGAGCACGCAGAGTACAAGGTGGAAATAGTGTGATTGGTGAAATACAACGGTGAAGAACTGAAAAGGTTTATACCTGTTTTTCAATTCCTTCGAAGCGACTGCGATCTTTCTGGAAATCTGCAAATGCTTCTTTTACCAGACCGTCGAGATCAACCCTGTCGGTGAATTCCAGCTCAGGGTTTCTCTCCAGTAGCACGGAAACTACCATCAGAAGCTATAAAGAAAATATTTAAATAGAATATGTTCAGACAGAGAGCAAAAGCACACTTACGGTAATGCATTTTATGTTCAGAATAAGCTTAATTACCTCAACTATTATCTGTCTGTACTCGGGTAAGACGATGTTCTTTAGCGTGTCCTCCACCAGCAGAGAGAAGTTCATCTCGTACATGGTCATGTCCGACAGGGTGGGTTGCTATACATCAGGAGACAAATTAACTTTTTGTGAGCCAGGTCATACACTTTTTGTGAGCCATGATATAATGATGTTACTTTACCATAAACAACTGAGTCATGTATTCAAGGCTTACCATACTGTATCAAATTTATTTAAAAAGCACTTTAAAAACTTTACAGCTGGCTAAAGGCTGTACACAAACATAGAATAGACAAGGACAATCACAGTTAATACAACGACTAAAACATAAAAAAACAATAAGGTATAAGTTAATTAATAACAAGAAATGTACATCTCACCAGTGAAAAAACTGTGATTTTAGAAGCGATTTAACAAGTATAGTTTGTAATTCTCTAGTTTCTAATCAGCAACAGAAAATGCACAGTCCTCATGAAGCTTGTGTTTAGTCTATGAGACAGCAAGGTGCAACTGATCTGCTGACCTAAGAGTGCGAGAGCTGGTGTAAGGGTGGAGCTGGTCAGTGAGGTAGGAGGGCATTAGGCCATGCAAACACTTAAAGGTGAATAAAATAATTTTGAACTCAATTCTTGGTTTAAGTGCTCTGAAAATGTGTGTTGTCACTAACTTATTTAATAAAAAACAGGTCGTACATGCTGGGTTCAGAAATGTTAGGTAGCCATTTTTCAACAATCCAATCAAATCCAACTTTATCTGTATTAACACATTTTACCAACACAAAGATTCCAAAGTGCTGCACATAGTAAGCACAGTATAAATTAACACATTAAATAAAATAAAGTATAAAATATATAAGCAAGTCAATTACAAAAAAAAAAAAAACAACATACAAAGGATTTGTAAATGGAAAAATAGCATATGTCCATCCATTCATCCATTCTCTTCCACTTATCCAGGGCCAGGTCGCGGGGGCAGCAGTCTAAGCAGGGACTCTCTGACTTCCTTTACTCTAGACACTTCCTCCAGCTCCTCCGAGGGCCCAAGGCATTCCCAGGCCAGCCGAGAGACATAGTCCCAGCATGTCCTGGGCTTTCCTCGGGGCCTCATTCCGCTGGGGCATGCCCAGAACACCTCAGGAGGGAGGCGTCCAGGAAGCATCCGGAACAGATGCTCGAGCCACCTCAGCTGGCTCCTCTTGGTCATTACCCAAAGCTCATGACCATAGCTGAGGGGAGGAATGTAGATGAATGGTAAATTGAGAGCGTTGCCTTTTGGCTCAGCTCCCTCTTCATGACAATGGTTCGATACAGCAACCGCATCACTGCAGACACTGAACCGATCCGATCCGCCTGTCAATCTCACACTCCGTCCTTCTTTCACTCGTGAACAAGACCCCGAGATACTTTAACTCTTCCACTTGAGGCAGGGACTCTCCACCCAAAATAGCAAATAATATCAATAAAAGATACACAACACTCAATTCTTATGCCGTGTTAAAAGCTGGTGAGTAAAAGTTTGTTTTTAAAGGAGACTTAAAAGAATCGACTGAATGTGAGGGGGTAGAGCGTTCCAAAGGTTGGGTCCAACCACAGATAGGCTCGGTCACCCCGGCTTTTGAGTCTCGTTTTTGGGATGACAAGTTGAAGCTGGCCCTCAAACCTCAGAGCACGTGGAGTGTAGGAACAGTGAGGTCTGAGATGTACATTGGGGCCAATCCATAAAGTGCTTTAAAAACAATACAATTTTAAAATCAACTCTAAAATTAATGGGGAGCAAGTGTCATGAGAATAATATAGATGTGATGTGTTATCTATGACGTGTGCCGGTTAAAAGACGTGCCGCAGAATTTTGAACTAATTGTAAGTGTGACTGGTAAGCTTGGCTGATATCCATGTACAATGTGTGCAAATTAAAATCTGCTACTGTTACAGCTACTAGGAAAAGGAATGGGCTTTCAGTTATGTAAAACTAAATGTTAAATTAAAATGTTAAAAACAGACCTACTTAATTTCAAATGGTTTGCAGTTGTCCAAACCTTTTCTTCACTTACTGTATGCATTCCAAGCATCTTAATTATTCACTGCGATCAGTTTATGAGGACTTTTCAGAACTTTCAAAATAAAGCATAATATGTCTTCTTTAAGTGAGACATAAAGTGTACCTGAGGGAGGTGGGTCCCAGCCACCATGATCCCGTTGGGAGTCCTCTCCAGGATTTGCCACACGCGGTCATAAAAGCCCAGGGGCACTCTGTTCAAAGAGCCATCTATCTGTCTTCTGTTGAGCCAGGGCCTGGGACAGAGCACACTCACTGTTCTAAAGGCTCACACACACAGGGCATTTTACACACACACAGCATTATGTGGATCACTGGACAGGAAATTACCTATAAGTCAGTGTGTCAGAGATTAGATCAGGTAAGATATGACATTATTAAACACTGAGGGAAATTGAGTAGCAGAGTAATAAGTAATAAAAAATAATACCTTTTGGGTGCAAAAGAGTGACCCGTTAAAATGCAACTAAATCAAAATACATGTCAATGATTCACTAACATCAGCTCTAAATACAAAGGATTTTAAGACTTTTTTTTTTTTCTAGTGTTGAAATGTCACTGTATTTTCTAGCCTCAAAAGTGCATTTAATCTTCAGAGAGTAATATGTGGCAACCTAAGTAGTAAATAAAATCTACTAAATTATTGTGGGGTCAACATTTTTGTCTATCATAATCTCCTGCTAAATAAACCAATAATGTGAACAGTTAAAATTTTAAGTGTCTTTAAACTTGGTGTTGTTATCACAAACATCTATCTGAGTGGGTGGGTATCATCTGCCAAACTTTTTAAAAGATATATGTTTAGTGGTGTTAATACCAGTATCTCTATTAAAATTGCATATGTTCCATTTCATAGGTCTCTGCTAATACTGAAATTTATAAACAATGTATTTATTGGTGTGTAAAATCACAGAAGAGTTGATATAGTAAAGCAATAACCATTAGAAGCACGTGTGTATAAGCGCACCTGCCCCTGTGCTGTGGCTGCAGCACGTCCAGCAGCAGCTGTTTGATGTCACTGGGGGACAGTTGGTAGATGTCCTGTGGAGGCATGTCACCTGCTCGGATCTTCAGCTCATGTTTCATGGCCTGTACTATCCACCTGAGACAGAATCAACACCATCTACAATCTCTCTATATGTGCACATATAGAATACAGAAAATCATATAGTGTATCCAATTCAAAGCATAGACATACATTTTCATTATATAAAGGTCTGTCAAAAACAAAATCTTAAGTCTGACAAATAGAATAAACAATAAAATGTATACCACCTTATTCAACAAGAATACACAAAATACAGTATAATCCAAACAGCCAAACTAGATTTGACACAGCACAACGCCCTGTTATAAACATCTAGAAATCTGTGTGACCTCCACACTCCGTATTTAGTGTTTAGTATTAAGTTTCTTGTGCCTTACCCAACCCTGATCTTAAGCATGCCGCTGAATAGCTCAGGGTTGTTGGAAATGATCCATCCGATGTGTATGACCAGCTCTTGCTGAAGAACGGCCTCTCTCTGGCCGCCGTGAGGGGCACATTTGCTGTAGATGATGCCCTGGATCACTCCTGGTGACAATGGGTTAGAAATCACCTCCTCTTCATGGCCGAATAAGCCCAGGGTCACCTAGTAATAACACAGAGGCAAGCACACAGGACACAGGAGAGTGGAGTCACTGTATGTACATCAAAACTCTACATGAGCTAAAACTATGCTTCATTGTTTTCAAATTGGCCTCCTCTCCCAGCTAAACATAAAAGTGAGTGGGCAAAATTGCAGATCAGAAGATTACTCTTAGTATTTTGTTTCTCCTGAAAGCCATCTGCTGAAAATTACACCTCTGCAATCTTCCTGATGAGAGGACCTCACTTTTATGCCTCACACTGATGAAATCCAGCACTTTGAAGATGTTAATCAATATTCCATCTTCACATCGAAACTGATTTGAACTCACAAAAGGCCTGAGGCTGGGAACAGCTTGGAATGGCTATCTTTAAATGCAGAAAGGAACACAATGTTGAATTTCAATTCCAAGGAGAAAAATAATCATTGGATGGAGTCCAAATAGAGCTAAATAGGTGCTGCCTTTTTTTCTTCTACCTGAACTGTTATTGTAAGCAGAGAAGCACGACTCAAATTTAAAATCAGCTTTCGCAATCATGTCGAGGAGCATTCCCTCCGCTAGGCAATCTATATGCAGATTCACACCTTGAGCTCCTTCAGCATAATGAAATGCCTAAAAGTGTTCAGAGGGCTAAAAATGAGCTCAGATAACTGACACTCAGGAGAGGAAGCTAATCTCAGAATAAGACTTGACAGAAAATGATGCACTGAAGCCCATCCAGCATAAGCGGGTGGCAGCAGGCAAACTCCTGGGCCACAATATGTCAATGGGCACATACAGAGTCGCATATTAGGATTCTATGGAGGTCATGCTGGTAGCCTCGCTCCAACTACAGTTTAGATCCACACACAATGGAAGCGAGGAATGAGAACATGCAGCTATTTTGAACAACTCCCATAGGATCACGGCATGAGGAGCTTATTGTTAACATTCATTCCAACAGTGAACATTAAAATAAAAGTCCTGACATGCCACTTCCAAATCAGAGCCAAATCAGCTTGTACCAAAAGATTGCCTTCAGTCTGTGTGTCCACTTACCTGCTTGCCATGCACTAATATACTAGTAATACTGGGGGCAAGGCTGTCCACTAGCTTAGTTAAGAGACTGGCAGCAAGGCGGACAACAGACCTAGTGGCGAGAAGAAGAACATTCTTGACAAATGAAACTTAAAGGTCCTATATTACACAAACTTAACTCTTGTGAGCTTTAAGCCATGTTATAATGTTGTTACCTCATTAAAAAATACCTGCAGTTGTGTCTTGTTTCATTTCCACATGTTTGAGTAATCCTTTATTATTACACTGTCTGTTCCACCTTTTGATGTCATGAAGTAGTAGTTTTAAATTTAACAGCTACCTTTTACCTTTTGTTCAGTAGAAATTGGCAAGCTGAAACCATCCAATGATTCTAGTGAAGCTGTGTGAGTTTAAAAATGCAATGGAGCACATCCTGTACTAACACATGGCATCACAAGGTGTAATGTTTTGATGAGGAAACAACACTGTAACATAGATCAGAGAATAGCATAATATGGGCCCTTTAACCATTACATTAATACTTCAAATTTCACTGATAACGTATTCACTGTAATAGATGTTAACCTTCAAATAAAATAACAAAAAGCATTTTAATGTTCACTTCAAGCTGCATGTACATATAGCAGCCTCCTCTGTATTGCAGTTTTCCTATGAGAACAAGCACTAAACCTCACAAGTGACTTCAGCAAGGGTAACTACAGACAAACAGTGGTGAAGCCATCTCCTCACAGAAGCAGTAGACAAATGGCATGATCACATTAAATGATTCATGGCTAAAATCAGCAGAGCTATACATTTTCTTGTGGATTTGCTTAGCCCAGCTCCCTATAGATGTGGCATGTATGCAGGTAGAATATGTGAGATTGTACAAATGAGGTGCACCTAGAGTTTGGGAATGAGGTCATATATTATTGTGTATGAAGCATGAAGCCAGTCCAGGGACGCATTGTTGGTGAACCTATTTCAAGCTTCACTTCCTCATCTATGTTAAGGAATCCACATGAGACAATAAATTAAACTCAATATTGGTTTACCATTCACCAAGTTGAAAACATTCCCCATGTTAATTTTCCCATATGGAATATCAATTTATGCTGGCAAAGAATAGTCAGGAGAAGGATGCAATAACTGTGTACCTGGCAGGAATACAGGGAGCATACACTATTAAATTAAATTAAATTAAAACAAAAAGGAAGGGCTGATTTGGGATTGTTTCAGTCAGGTCATCTGGTTATTTTTAAGTGACATATTTCAAGATTGTCGAGTCACAGACACACAATTACATAGTTGGAACTAGTTATTAGTATTTAGTATAAAGTAATATAAGACAGTGAAATGTTTGACCAATTATCACAACAAATAACTGCAAATTAATACATGAAGATTTATCAGGCCAGAAAAGGCCAAATAATAATAGAAATGCGTGATGTTTAATGAGGAATAAATTAACCACCGACACGTTATGGTCAACCTCAGAGACAACATGCCAATAGAGTGGCCTAGCTAGCTGTGTAAGAGAGGTAGCCATGTTTTAAGCTAATGTTGTAATGAAGATAAATGGGACTTTTTAAGGAGCTATGCAGTAAGCCTTCTATTGATGTCAGTATGAAGAACAGGGAAGGGGCCATATAAGCAGAGCGGCTATGCATGTTTTGGCTTAATCTCTCAAGCTAGACAGCTAGCTATCCAACTAGCACTGAGCTGACTAGTACATTGTATTACCTGTTTCCCATTCACCAGTATAGTGGTGATGTGAGGGGCTATTGAGCCCGCAAACTTCTTGAGAATGGCAGCAACAAGGCGCACTGCCAGCCTACAGTATGGCCAGATTAGATACGAGTTATATACAGCACTTATACAACAGTATGTGCATGTACTAAAACCAGTGACTTCAGATGTGTCCAAAAAGACATGTGTACAACCCCACCAGTTACTACAATGGGCACTTAAATGACTGCTGTGTTTATGTGTAACATTTTGTATGTGATTGTGTAGTTGTACATGAAAGTGTGTGTCTGACCAAAGCTTCCTGCTGCCGGCCCTCCTGTAGATCCTCTCCAGCTCGTCCATCAGCCCCACTGAATCACAGACATTGCATTAGATGAAATACATGTTATTATCAATAGAGATGAGGACGTTATGTACACACTGAACTGATTTTAAATATTTGAGAAAAGTAGTAGTAGAAAATGTACCATCTTTGGCAAGAAAGCCTGGGCCTTCTCTTTGAAGGATTAATCCGGCAAGTTGAGCCTGACTGGCTAAGCAGTCACAATCCTGGGCATTAACAAAAGAAAAAGACAAAAAATATTATGCCACAAAAGCGTCTCATTGCACTTATAACACACTTTTGTGATTCACGACATTGTGCTATGGGTTAAAAAGCAGTTGTTTTTTCAGCATCTCAAACTCAGAATTGCAGCTCCATTTCCTTTAGCCAGATAATAATTTAAAGTTGGAAAGAAAATGATACAGAAATGTATTGTGAATCATAACTATTAATACAATGAATGTACAAACCACTATAATAAAATGACCCACAACTATGTATCCTTCAGTAAGTAGGTTACATTATTAAGTACAAGAAAGAGGAGCAAAAAGAAATAATGTTTTTCAGTACCAATACACTGGCACTGTACTAATCCTCAGAGCAGCAGCAGGTGGAGCTCTTAAGAAGGAATAAATGCGCTGTTTATCTGTACTGAAGCACCCAAATAGTCTCTTGAAAATGATTTACATAGAAAACATGACACTAGTGATTGCGAACATTGACATTTCATTAAAATGCATATGGCTGGTTATGCATTTCACTTAACATAATTATATAATTTTATATCATTTTACTTCCTGGATGTGATATAGGTAAAGGTAATGCCACACTGTTACCACGCAAAAATTATGTTAACAAGTGCTAACAACTGTGTAAATTGTACAAAAAAAAAAAAATAAAATAACAATAGCTTTATTTTGTTAAATGAAGGTTTAGAAAAATGCCTTCATTGTGCGCACATTGTCCCTGTATTTTAGATGGAATTTTCTGTGTTGATAACATAGGTAAAGGTATTCCATTTTACTCAGTGCTGCTTGCTGTAATTTGTTCCTTTTGTTCTAAACATTTCTTCACAAACTACCACTTAACTGATGTAAAACTATGACACATATTCACCACACGTACTATCCCAAATATAGACTGTATAAAGAAGTGGACTAAGTGAGCTTGACTTCACTCATAATCTTTGGCTCCAGTCAAACGAAGCTCAAGAGGCCTGCAGTTTTAGGGGTGAATTTGGAGCCCAGTTCCATATTTAGAATTCCGACCACAATTCATGGTCAAGATCATAGAGTCAGTCTGGGGTGAGACTATTGAAAGTTCCCAGCACTGGTTTAGCAGGGGGTGGACACACTGTCAGTCAAACCTGTTCCTAATACTGGCAGAAGCAACCTCAGCTAAAGTGCGCAGCTCACTGATCATTGGTATTCATATCTTGATTTGTGGACAAAATAGCAAAATAAAAACACCAGGATCATTTATGTATATATACAGTCTTTGATCCCACCAAACCAAGTAATAATTTGAAAAACGAAACCTGTCATATGCACTTTAAGCTGTTCTTACATGGAACTTCTGCAGAATCTCGTGAGTGGGCCTGTGAATCCATTCTTCCACGCTGATCTCAGGCTGCTGCTCCAGGTCGGACACATTGGGGGTACTTGTCTGTCTCTTCACTTTCGAGTGTTTCGGCAGCTCCAACTCCTCAAAGCTTTTAAACTCTGGGATCCTTCATTCAAATACACAGGCACACATATATTTTTCTTTGTCAACACTGCTTATAGTTACAACGATACAAGCGAACCGTAAAACAGCCTAAGCCTTGGTGCCTTTAAATGAACAGTTTGGAGTGAGTCAGAGTGTTGGAGACATGTGGAGACACTTTTTTAAATATTCCATCCAGTCCTTGTATTTGCAGAGGTCGCTGGTGCTAGGCTAGTGCATGTTAATGGGCATAGTTAGCCTACCACTAAAAAGAGTCTTACTCACTCCACAAAGCACCGGAGGAAAAACAATTATAATGCCAGACTATTGACGTGAATTTCTGTCGATAGAATAATTTTAGAAGAAAAAACAACCTTGCATTTGCAAGATTTATGTCTGAGCAACAGCAGCGAGTTGTACTTCCTAATAGAAAACTTGGCAGCAGCGGACTGATAGATGTGAAAATAGTCCCTCAACATGTGACAATTCATGTGATGCAAGGTTAGTTTTATTTCAGACATTATTCTATCAACACAGACATTTACATCAATAGTCTGGTGTAATAATAGATTTGCTTCGGGTGCTTGACATGCGCTAGCCTAGCACCAGCGACCTGTCTTTCTACAAGGATGCCCTGTCCAAAATTCTGAACTGTCCCTTTAAGCACTTTATGCTTCCAAAGGAGAATGGGATGCATTGTGCAAATTTTACCTCTTTTGAGCTTTAAGCCATGTTAAAATGCTATTACCTCATCAAAAACATACCATGTGTTGGGTTTTGTTTCTTTCACACACGTTCCATGAGTCTGTTCCACCTTTTGATGTCATCAAATAGTAGTTTTCATGTTAACAGCTAACTTTTTACCTTTTGTTTAGTGAAGATTGGAAATTCAAGTGCACAAATGATTCAAAGGATTCTAAAAGGATTCTAAAGAAAATGTATGTAGTTTAAAAAGACAGTGGAGCACTTCCTGCATTACCACATGACATCACAGTGTTTTCTGTTTTAGAGGAAAACTCAGACTAAATGTGTAGGATTTGTGTGTTAAACATGTGAAAATGAAGCAAAACACAAGTCCGAGTACCTTTGTGATGAGGAAACTGCATTCTAACATGGTTTAAAGCTCACAAGAGTCAAATTTGCTTAATTTAGTATTAAACACAGATCAGAAAATAAAGTAATATGGGCCCTTTAAGTAATTTCTACTTCAAATTCCACTTTCAGTGCTGAAATCCAATTGGTTTAAACCTAAACTGACTCCCTCTGAATTGAATCCTTGTTACCTAAAGCCCAGCACTTGCAGCCAACCATCAATCAAAGTGAATTCTGGAGTTTCTGAGCTTTCACATGAGTCATGCCCTATCCATATATTGAGAAAAACTGATTCCTCTATCTGCAGATCTGGACACTAGCATCTCATGCTCAGTCGTAAAGACCTTTTTAAAAACATTAAGCACGCAGGCTACATACTATTCCTTAAGAATTTTGAATCATACAAAATTCCACATTCTGTTTCTGAATTTTTGGACACTTCATTCTCAGGCATTACGATGGCCACATGAATAATAAATGCCTTACATTAAAAAAATAAATAAATGAAAAATAAAAAAATAGACTTACTCTGCTTCATTGACCCGTAGGAAATCCAACTGCTCCACCACTGCTCCGGAAATCAGGGTCTAGAGCAAAATACAAACACAATATATTATGTATTGCTTCTCATAGATTACTTATTTCATAAATGGCCCATGCATTTGCTGAGAAAAAAATACACTTTTTTTGGATAAATTGCTGAGGACACCAACCAAGCTAGGAATAAAACCTCTATAAGTTAATATTCCAGTGATGTACTTAATTATGTTATGTTATAATATTTTCTCATCAAAAACATACCCGGAGTTTTGTTTTTTCATTCACACTTTTGACACAAACTCAAACAATATTTAGAGGTCTGAGTTCTGATGTCTTCTCTCAAACAAAAAACTCTGTTCCACCTTGCGATGTCATGTGGTAATACAGGAAGTGCTCCATAATTTTTTGTGTTTTTTTTTTTTTTTTTAACTTTCACTAGAATCATTTGAATTTCAGCCCTGGAATTGCTGGAATAGCTGTTAACATTAAAACCTACCACTGCATGACATCACAAGGTGAAATAGAGCATTTTGAGCTTTGGAGATGTAGACAGAATAATAATAATAATAATAATAATAATAATAATAAAAGGGTTACTCAAACAACTCCAGTTATGTTTTTGAGTAAAAAATGTTCTAACATGGCTAAAAGCTCATAAATGTAAATTCTGCGTAATATATAACCTTTAAAATGTCTATTAAGCATTTGAAAGAGAGGTAAAGTTTCAGCTATAGTGACAAAGATTTATTTTTTTTTTTTAACAGCAATCTGAATACAAATATCTGTATTATAAAAATGTGTAGGAGGAGTTCAAGGGCTCCTCCTCCTGTGCCCTAAATGCAGTATTAGCCATTCCAACTGAAGTCATCTTAAAACAGAAATGTAGCAGGAGCAGCAACCCAGCTGCACATAACAATGAGATGATAAAGAACAGAACAGTTTCAAAGCTTTAGGAGCGAGTTGTGAAGGGAATAATAAACAGGCCATGTTGGGGAAAGTTTAAAAAGGGAAAAACGGTAGGATGTAGGAATGATATCGGAGGAGCAGTGCAAGGTCTGGGAACAAAGTGGATATGCATGTTGGATAAGTTTGAGAAAGTTCTTGGTTTAAAGGTGCACTATCTAACTTTTGGTCACTTGCTTGTTTCTATGGATACACATAGACATAGGGTTAAAAGAAGGACAGTTAGACTGTCTAATCAGAGAAATTTAGTTCACATTCCCTGTAAGAAGATAACATCCAGTCCTACTGAAACTAAGCAGAAACTTGCTGTGCACAGTGTCAGATCTTTATGTAACAAATCATTTCTAATTAATGATTTTATTTCTTCTTTTAAAATTGACTTTATGTTTTTAACTGAAACATGGCTTGACAAAAACACAGGTCATGCAGTGTTAGTGGAATCAACCCCTCCCAACTTCAAATTTGAATCTGAAACACAAGCAAATAAAAGGGTGGAGGAGTGTGTGCATTTTTTAGAGATCATTTGGTTACACACAGGTTGTCATTTGGGGTGTTTTCATCATTTGATTATGTTTCCTTCAAAATGGAGCTAAAACAATCACCCTCCATACTCTACATACTCATATACAAACCTCCTCAGCACTATCAAAGTTTTATTGATGATTTTACTGAGATGCTTTCAGTTGTATGCACAGACTTTGATGGTTTAGTCATTACAGGTGATTTTAAAGTACATGTGGATAATGTGTGTGACAAAAATGCCAAAGAGTTTAGTGTTGTCCTTGAAACTTTTGGTCTGACTCAGCATGTCAGTGAGCCCACTCACAACAGAGGGCACACTCTGGACCTGCTCATTACAAAGGGTGTGGTTGATGTTGCTCTGTCTGACCATTTCTGTGTCTTTGACCTGTCTGTTATTCCCAAACCACCGGCTGGTCCTACAGTTGTTCGAAGAAGACATATACATGATAACACAGGTGCACTGTTCATGGAAATGATACATTTTGAAATAGCCTCATGTTGGTGATGTGTTGAACTCTGTGACTTTGAGTGTTTTGAATGTTCTGGATGCCATCGCCCCGATAAAGGTTAAAATGGTTAAAGATATAGGCAAAAAGCTCTGTGGAGGAATGATGACTCAGTCAGAGCACAGAAAAGGGAGTGCCGGAAGGCTGAGCGGAAATGGCACAAGTCAAACCTCCAGGTTCATTATGAGATTTACAGAGGAAAAAATGCATATGTACAACTACACTTTGAGTAAAACAAGAAAGAAGCATTTTTTGGACATTATTGGAAATTGCAGTAACAACTCTCGTGTCCTGTTTGCAACAGTGAACAGATTAACAAACCCCCCCAGTTCCACTGCTACTAGAACTAATTTCCACATCTAAATGTAATGAGTTTGCAGTTTTCTTTAATGACAAAGTTCAGGGCATCAAAAATGCCATCAATTCTACAAATGACAAGCATGCAGCCACAGAGACACTTAGAGCTGTACTGTACCTGTAACTGACAAAACTGTTTTAGAGATCGTTACCAGTCTGAGTTCATCTACTTGCTGCCTGGACATGTTACCCACTAGATTTCTAAAGTCCGTCCTCAACAGTTTACTTTCACCACTCACTCACATAGTTAACATGTCACTTCAATCTGGGACATTCCCAAACACGTTGAAAACTGCTTTCATTAAACCTCTCCTAAAGAAAGTCTTGATGCCACAGTACTGAACAATTTCCCATCTCAAATCTGCTGTTTTTTGGCAAAGTCCTCGAAAAAGCTGTTTACGAACAGCTTACGAACTTTCTCCAAATGAACAACTCCTTTGATGTTTTCCAGTCAGGTTTTAGAGCCCACCACAGCACTGAGACTGCGCTTATCAAGGTGACAAATGACATCCGCCTGAACACTGATGCACGCAAAGTCTCAGTCTTGATCCTGTTAGATCTGAGTGCTGCTTTTGACACTGTCGATCATGGGATCCTCTTACAGAGACTGGAGGACTGGGTGGGCATCTCTGGTACTGTACTAAACTGGTTCAAGTCCTATCTAGAAGACAGGAAGTATTTTGTTGAAATTGGAAACTGTGTCTAAGATCACATGGCCCTGACCTGTGGAGTGCCTCAGGGGTCAATCCTGGGCCCACTGTTGTTCAATCTCTACATGCTGCAATTAGGCCAGTTAATAAGCAGCAATAACGTGTCCTACCACAATTATGCAGACGACACTCAGATCTACGTCTCTCTGGCAGCAGGAGACTATGGACCAGTGGACTCACTTTGTCATTGCATCCAACAGATCAGTGTGTGGATACAAAACAACTTTCTCCAGCTAAACCCTGACAAGACTGAAGTCATAGTGTTTGGCCCACAGAAACAAAGAGACAGTGTCAGCAGTCACCTCCAGTCTCTCTCTCTAAAACCTTCAAATCCGTCAAGAAATCTAGGGGTAATAATGGACTCAGACTTGAACTTTAACAGCCACATCAAATCAATAACATCTGCAGCCTTTTACCATCTAAAAAACATTGCAAAAATCAAAGGTTTACTGTCTAAAGCAGACTTGGAGAGACTTATCCATGCATTTGTCTCTAGTAGATTAGACTACTGTAATGGTCTGCTCACTGGCCTCTCCAAACGAGCTGTGAGACAGCTGCAGTACATCCAGAATGCTACAGCTCGGGTCCTGACTTGAACTAGGAAGTACGAGCACATAAGTCCTGTGCTCAGGTCGGAAGAAGGGCAATAATGTCTTTCCGCTTGATAAAATGCATTAAGCATTCTCTTTATTCCAGCTTTAAATCCTTGATCCCAGGAATCTTGACAACACAGTTCTTCGCTGATTGGTTGGTGTCTGAACTTGCACTTCCGGATTTTTTGCGAACCGTCTAGTGTATTCTTATTCCTGACCTAGTCTTCTGAAGAGAAATGAAAATGAGCAGAGGCACAAGGTGGCACCAGCCTGGCTAGCATTCCCTGGCATTCAATCCACCATAAACTGTGCCTCCTCACATGCAGTGCCAGTGTCTACATGGACCTGCCCCTGTCTATCTCAACGACATCACATCCTAGACAACATCTCACCTCCATCACCTCCTTTTACTGCCTCCACCGACCCAGGACTAAGCTCGGATCTTGGGGGACTTACCCTTCGTTGCTCCCGCCATCTGGAACTCACTTCCATAATCCATTAGGAAATCATACTCATTACAGCATTTCAAATCCCTACTAAAAACTGTTCAACCAGGCATTCACACCATGATTTCTTATTGTGTTTTCTTATTGTTTTTACAAGTAATGTGTCTTTAAGTGTCCAAAAGAGCGTTATATAAGTCTGATGTACTATTATTATTACTATTATTACTATGATTTGTAAAAATTTAGCAAAATAAGTACTTTGTGTAAAAGGCTAGAAGGCATGTTTAAGTAACATTAAATTTAAAGATGTACTGTGTAACCTTTTGGGTGGGAGTTCCTTCACCATAGAGTTTGTGTTGCTTTGCCTGGAATTTTTCACAGTATGATATTAAACATCTATTTCCAGGGAGCCAAGCACCAAGCCAATTTCCTGATTTGTGTAGAGGTGAACCTGATCACAGTAAATTACATATTTTTTTAATGATATTTTTCACTGTTAAAAAAAAAAACAAAAACAAAAAAACTATAATTAAATAATAAGCAATTTTAATGCCATACTGTGGTACATTCCAGGGAAAGCAGTCTCCCTAGCATATCTCCACACAAGCAGTTAATTTCAGAGAATATAATGGCATTCTGTGACATAAGTGGTGAAATGTGCTTGTAAATGTCAAGTAGAGTTTTAAGTATTACACAAACTGGAATGGAATGTAAAATTAACCACACAAGAGCAAAAGTCATTATATATTCTTGGTTGGAAAATTATTCTTTTAGTTGCTTTGTGTTAATTATTTTTATTATGCAATATTTATTACGCAATATCATATCTCCAAAAAAGTACAATTACCTTTTTTAATATATTCTAACCTCTACTTCTGCCTCATTGTCAATACACACCCTGAAGCCGTGTCTCATTTGTTGATTCATTTTTCAATATAAAACTAAAAATAAGAAAACAAAAGAACAATAATTTTCTTCATTATTTGTCTCTAAATCTAAATTGAAAAATCGGATAATGATTAGTTTTTTCAGTTTTTCGATTTTGTGTTTAAATTAATAATGGTAAAAATGTATAACCGCCGTTTCCCGTTTCCGTGACTTAAACTGCGATGCTGGACTTTTGCGCCGCATACAGAGTGAACCAGGACTAAAACAGGACTAAACCAGAACTAAATCAGGTCTAAACAGGACTAACCTGGTCTCAGTCCTGGTCTAAGCCCCGGTCTCAGTCCCTGTCTCAGTCCCTGTCTCAGTCCCTGTTTCAGTCCTTCTCCTTGTTCCAGTCTGGTCCCAGTCTCAGTCTTGGTCTGGTCCCGGTCTCAGTCCTGCTCACCCGACAGTCTATGCAGGTGCATCTCTGGGCCCACTCCGACACTTCTGGTTCAGTCCTGGTTTACTCCTGGTTTAGACCTGGTTCAGTCCTGGTTCAGTCCTGGTTCAGTCCTGGTTCAGTCCAGTCCAGTTCGTAATTTTTTTTTCATTCTCTTATTTTTGGTTTTATTTTGAAAAATGAATGTGCGAACGATACACAGATTAGCCTGCACTGGACTACCTATTCTTTCTAACACATCAAAAGGTGGTGACAGTATAGGTGCCGAAAACCGTCTCTGGTCCATCTCGTCAAATCATATATAATTTTGAACAATCACTGCAAATCAAAAACAGAGTAAGCAAGCTGTTATTTGAAGCAAGCGATAATCAGAACTATGAATCAAAGTGTTTTCTTACATCAGAGGCACACACACTTGATGACTTAATGACTCCGAATTATATAGTATTTAAAGCATTATTACTCTGAAGATTCATCAGTGATATTGCAAAAAGTACCATTTTATTGTATGTTACTGCTAATATCAACGCTGAAGGAAATGATAATGTAACTTATAACTAATTGGATGTAACTTATAATGTAATTAAAATGAAATGTGTATTTATAATGTGTGTTCACCTGCCCAAGGGCGGCAGATGGAAAGTAGGAGCAGCTAAATCTGGTGCAGTTCATCTTTTCTTTTGTCAGATTAATGAATTTGCACACAGTCCCTGACAAATAAAGAATAAACTAAACTAAACTAAACAGATGGCAATAGTGAATCATCTACCTAGAAGCCACCTCCACAAGGTTTTAGTCATTTTCCAACCCTCACAGTTACAAAAATATTTACACAGTAAAGATTGCATACATTTACATTATTTACACTTGACATTTTGTTTTTTGAGACTGTTATCCAATCAGAAATCAAAGTAAGTGTTGGTCTTCAATATATGGGAAATGGCATCCCAGTTTTAGCTGTATGACTGCAGTTTAAGTAATTTTTAAAAACAATTTACAAGGAAAATTGTCTCCCCTCTCTCTTTATGTTCTGCTGTGAGCCTTGTCATTCTGGTCTTAGCACACCCCTGATTCCAACACACATTAGCATGCTAACAGCACATTTCCTGATTCTCGGAGGACAAACCATTTTATAATTAGATGGAGCCAGCATACAGGGGTCTCATTTCAATAATAATATAAAAATGCAATACCACACCCATCACTGTCTGTTAGCCCAATGTAATATCTTTAAACATCGTAATCTTATCACTAGCGTCCTTTAATTTAGCATTTAATTTAATGTTGTTGCTCAAAGTCATACCAGCGGATTTCTAACAAGCCACTAAAACGCCTTTCCGTAATATGCCCCCATTTTCATGCTCAGGCCGTTTTCCCCACAAGGAAACAAAAACAATGTGCCTTCTAAATTCAATCTTAACGTGGCAAGGTCAAACAACAGATAAACGGTAGCTCTCCTGCTGAGAGAAGCGGTGACTACAGATTAGGAGGTGTACCACTAGTTCCCAATGGAGCAGCTCTACCCTTGAAGTTTGATGAAAAAAAGGATGAAACATTAAGATGCAGTTTATATGGGGTGATGTCTGCAATATTGTCAGTATCAGTGTTACAGTGTTAAGAGTGTATTTCACTTCAACAGCTACTATCAAGTCCAAAGTGATCTCTAGATCTTCTTTAGAATTGTGTAGGTTTATGAAATACTTAGGTTGAAAGTTTTGACCACTCAAAATTTGCTAAATTTTATGTTCTTTGCTTATAAAAATTTAAAAAAATAAAAATCTTGCCAGAAAAGTATTCAAAACCAAAAATATGAATAATACTATGAATACAACAGAACAGGGGTGTTCAAACTTTTTTCACAGAGATGCATATTGAAACATATACCAGGACCACAGATACAGACCAATGTGAATCACTGTGAATCAAGCCAATCATTTAAAATGCTGGATTTAACAAAGGTTTGAGTACCCTACATTTAATGAAGCTTGAACAGTTATTTTAGGCCTGTATCACATGTAAATGCTATTATTATTATTTTTTTTCAGATCTGCATAAAAAGTACTACTTTTGGTCATTTGAACCAATTCAACAAGAAGCCTGAGGGCCAACAAAAAATGGTCTGACGGCCACCTTTGATTTAGACTAGCCAGGCTGGTGCCACCTAGTGCCTCCACTTTTCATTTCTCTCCAGTGACTAGGTCAGGAATCAGAATAAACTAGACAGCTTGCAAGAACCCCAGAAGTTATAGACCGTGTACCAGCCAATCAATGAAGAGCTATGAATCCATGACATCAAACTCAAGCACCTGTCTGGGTCCCTTTTTGTGGTACAGCACAACAGTAAACAAAGCCATACATTCTGTGTTGGCAACGATTCCCAAGATTGAGGATGTAAAGCCGGAACAAAGAGAATGTTTGGTAAATTTTATCAAGGGGAAAGACATTATTGCCCTTCTTCCTACAGGATTTGGCGCACTGCATACGTCACGACTAAATATTGGTTAAATTAAAAAAGTTCCCGTCTACCGTCAAGCGAACAAATCCAATACCGTCGCGCAAAAGAATCAGGCTAAATTGAGACACTCCTGGAATAGAAACATATAATACAGTCTTACTGGATAAAAAGTTGGCACATACCTGCAGTCTGTCAACATGAACTTTGACCCCACCAATGACCCCCTTCTTGAAGGACGCCAGCATGTCCAGAACGGGATTAAAGCGGCTTCCCCTGCACAAAAAATGCATTGTGTTAAAGTTCTATTAAAATAAAAATACTATAATCTGTTAAATAAGATGTTATTTTGCTTGTTTCCGTTTGTTGGGCTCCAGTGAAAAACTGAATAGTGTAACTTTTTACATTCAATGCATCTATAGTAGTAGCAATATCAGTCTATTATAAACCTTTGAACTTGAGAAATGCATCTACACATTCACTTGTAGAATTTACACAGACCTTATATTTAGATCAGTTTGATATCCTGCAGGTTACTACTGTGAGGTGATCAATATCAATTATCAAACTAATGGCTATTGAATTTTCATGGAAGCCACTTGTACCATATGCCAAAGTGTGCATTTCGTATTGATACTTTGCAGCTGATGTCATCAACATTCCTTGGGGGTATGACGCTAACTCATGTTAGACTTAATCTGAGCATTATTTTAACACAATCTGACCAAAAAGAACTGATTGATCTGATTTGTGTTGTTAAACAAGCCTTTCTCACATGTAAAATTACTCAGTCTTTCAATTAGTCACTCTCACTTTTTGACCAAGAATTAGGATGACCTGACGTTTACCCGGGACAGTCCCAGGTTTGACCTCTGTGTTTCCTGTTTCAGCAGATATATCCAAAACCAGTGATTTGTCCCAGTTTTTACAAGAAATGTCCCAGATGTCCCTATTTATGACCAATTTGATCTAAACCAGAACTAAACTAAGACTAAACCAGGACTACATCAGGTCTAAAACAGGACTAAAACAGGACTATCGCAATTTTTGACTAATCTGATCCCTGTCAACAGGAGCATAAATTGTCATTAGTTTAGCCAAAATACAGAAATACATGTTTGCAAATGACCATAAAGCAAAAAAAATGCAGCAACAGACGTCCCTCAGATTATGACCAACTAAAGCACAATGTTAGATGATTTTTCACAATTTTATTTATGCCAACTCGGATGTGTCCCAGTTTAGAATTTTGAATGTCTGGTCATCCTATCATGAATGCTTGTATTGATCACAGTCTCTGAAAATGTGCTGTGTTTTGTTTTTTCTTGTGTTTTCAGACTATATTTAAACACATTTGACACTTTATGCTAATGTGTGCATTCTGTCTCCATGTAACCGTTGAACATTTTGCCAATAGAGATCCATGTAGAACACCCCCAGCGTGATGTTACTGCAGAGTATCAATACAACTCCCTCGATAAAGGCTTACAGTGCTCTAATGGACCCGCCAGCTTTTCTTTAGTGATACAAATGAGAAACATTATCAAGCAGTCAACAAGCATGGGCAGTCCCACCTCAACACTAAAGTGACAAGCGGTATACACAATGGCGAAGAGATCTCAGGACCAGGCCAAGTATTACATTCAACACGAGTTAAATTGCATTGAGGCTGTCAAGGCAAGACTATTATGAGACAGAGAAAGAATAATAGGCCCATGAAAATGGAGGTGTGAGAAGACAGAGGCCAGTAAGAATGCAATCGGTGAAAGAAAGAGGAAATAAAGCCATTAAGATGTGTGCGGTGTATTACTTGATGTTATCTTCGCGGATGAGGACCAGAAACAAGGGACGTCCCTGCATCTTCCAGCACTGTTTGATGAACTGTAAAGCATTCTAGGCACACACAGAAATATCAAGTTAAAGGAGGTCGATGATATAACTCTGCATGGCTCGTGCTCATGCCAGATATAGTAGCAGTTAAAATAATAGATGGTGTAGTGTCTGAAGGGTCAATGTGTTAAAGGTCCCATATTATTCCAGATTTACTCTTGTGACCTTTAAGGCATATTATTACCTCCTCATTCACACATGTTTAAGAAATCCTTTATTATTAGTCCGTCTACATCTCCAAAGCTCAAAATGCTCTGTTCCACCTTGTGATGTCATGAAGCGGTAGTTTTCAAGTTGACAATTCCTTTTACATTTTGTCCAGTAGAGATTTGCAATTTCTAAATTTTTGATAAGGATACAAGATTATAGCATAAATCAGAAAATAGTGTAATATGGGCCCTTTAAGCATCTGTTTTCTTCTAGCTTTACTTTGGCCAAACAAATAAACTCTTTCTGCAAAATGATCACATGAATTATTGAGGTAATCTCTTCGTTGGTTTGACAATAAACAACAAATGTACAAAGTTGGGCATAAGCAAAAACAACAGTAAGAAATATTCTGCCATTTAAAAAGTACTGGTGCATAAACCTTCTCATAATACATTAGGCAAACTTTAGAAGAATACTAAACTGCATTAAATAACGGTAATAACTACACCTTAATTACCTTTAATAAAGCATTAACAAAGATTTATTTCCTGATTAGCAAATTGTTTATTAAGAATAATTCAGCCTTAGTAGCTCAGCTCGAATTCCACTTTTGACATAAAAAAAAAAAAACAGCATTGTAGGTAGAGCGGCTACATCCACTTCCCACAAATTAATTCTGCAATGGTGCAATGGTGAATGGTGCAATTCCTACAAATGATTTCTGTTGTTGTGTTCGTGGGCAAGACACTTAAACCACCTCGCCTCCAGTGTCTGCATACACTGGCGTATGAATGTGTGTGTTAATGAGTCTTCCCTTTATGTAAAGTACTTTGAGTGCTGTGAAAGTTTGAAAAGCGCTATATGAATGTCACCTTTTACAATTGAACTTAATGTCCAACCTTAACTCCAAACCTCTTAAAGGGCCCATTTAAACTATTGATCTAAGTTAACATGCCTGGAGTTGTGTTTTGTTTTATTCACGCATATTTAACACACAAATCCAGCATATTTAGGCCAAGTTCTTCTCTCAAACAGAAAACACTCTGTTCCACTTAGCGATGTCATGTGGTAATACAGAAAGTGCTCCACTGTGTTTTTTGTGTTCCCTGGAATAGTCAATCTCTTTTGAACTAAAGGTAAAAGGAAAGGGTTCCCACTCTTTTTCACTGACAAAATTTCAAAACTTTTCTTTGACTTTTTCATGACCTAAAGTGAATTTTTCATGACTTTACGAACAAAACAAAAGGCACATAATTTCGGAAATAATCATAATGACCTAATGATAACTTAACAGAACGCTGTTGCATGAAAGAGATACCAAGATTCCATGACTTTTCCAAAACTTTTAATGAATTTACAAAATTCCATGACTTGTCCAGGGCTGCAAAATGACATTTTAAATTTTCATGACTTTTCCAGGATTTTCATGACTGTGGGAACCCTGAAAGAAGTTGTTAACTTAAAAACTATAATTTCATGACAACACTAAGTGGAACAGGACATTTTGAGCTTTAGAGATATGAACGCTGTAATAATAAAGAATTACTCAAACATGTGTGAATAAAACAAAACACAACTCCAGGCATGTTTGTGATGAGGAAACTACATTCTAACATAGATCAATAGTTTAAATGGGCCCTTTAAGAAGTTTGGAATTAAGGGTGGGTATTTATTTCAATGGTAAAAGACGACATTCATATAGTGCCTGAATGATTCTTAACAAATTATACACAACTGCCTGGAGCTAATTTGAAATGTTATGTGTGTTTTTGAGTTCACGATCCTAATAAAACAAGATTAGTGGAGGAGCACAACACCACAAACACACCCAGAACTTACCTTAATGTCATCAATCAGGAGCATAACATCCTGGGACAAGTAGAAGTCACTCAGATCAAAGACTATTGGGTAGCACACCACCGTCTTGCCCAGGATGCGATAAATCTGAAAGGACAAGCACACGGCAAGACAGAAGCGCATTACAAGAGCGATGGTGGAGAGGTTCACCGATAGCCACGTATGCATTATTATGGGCAGAGTATAAAACAAGCTATCAATTCTGAGCTAGCCGCCGATAGCACAGTATACGGCTTAGGGACACGCATACAGACAAACGGATGATGATGTCCTCTGGCAGTCGGCCATTTTGTTCTCTTAAACGTTGTCCTAGCAGTGGCACGGAAAATTTGACTTGTTGGGGAATGTCTTTAATTAAGGATTATAAACTTTCAGGGTGGCTGCGACCTTCAGTTGGAAGAGAAAAGTCAGGGCTTTGAGGAGTTAGATATTTAAAGTACAAGAAGCAATGGGTAAGCACGCACCGCCAGCTTAGCATATTAACACTGAGCGCAAACTAAATCTTGTACTTATTTACCAGTGAAAATGAGAAAAATAAATACAGAAGTGGAAAGGAGTAGTGTGGCTATAGTTGCATGTATAATTGCAAGTATATTCTGTAAATACTACTTATTTTGTTCAATATATGTATGCAATATATGTTGACTTATTTTTTTTTAATGTTTTTTCATTTAAAGGTGCATTGTGTAACTTTTCTGGTGGAGGGTCCATCAAATGCTTTTCTTCGTAGAGATGTTATTGCTTTGTCTTTGTTTTGCAGTATGGCATTAAATCTTTCTATCTTTACAGATCTGTGGAGAGGCAACCCCACCTCTATCAGAATGCCTGTTTTTCTATGTATTTTTGAGCCATCTGAATGACTGACTGAATAAATGTAAGACAGAGCTTTTTAATGTCATACTGTGGAACATTCCAGGCAGAGCAATAACATATCGATAGAAACAAGCAGGTGACACCTAACCAAAAAGTTACATAGAGGTGTGCAAAAATATCAAAATACTGATATATTGTATCACCTAATGTGATACAGTATACAGATACAGTATCGATATCACAGGCTGCTGTATCAATATATCATTAAGAGTATTTTTACCTCCGCCAAGGAGGTTATGTTTTTGCCGGCGTTTGTCTGTTTGTTTGTTTGTTTGTTAGCAACATAACTCAAAAAGTTATGGACCGATTTTGATGACATTTTCAGGATTTGTTGGAAATGTGAAAAGGAAGAACTGATTTCATTTTGGGGGTGATCCGGAAGAAATCCTGGATTATGGATCACTTTGAAATTTTAGTTAACATTGTGGTAAATGGGGCCAAAAATTTTGTTTCTCAATATCTCGATTAATTATTGACCAAACCCCATGAAATTTGACTCAGGGATGGACAATGGGATCCTCTTTCATATTCCAAAGGCTGATCCGGATCTGATCCAGAAGACAGATTTTATTGCAATTTATATAAAAAATGGGGGTAGTCCTTGGCGGAGGTCTGCTCTCTCTGAGTGCTTTTCTAGTTTGGTATATTTTACTCAATTATTTTGTTACAGTGCAACACTTTTGTTGTTTGTTTAGAGGAAGGAAATTGTTTATGCAGCAAATTTGACATTTTCACTGTTTTGATGATTAAAATGTTTGTGTTTCATATGAACTTTGCACAAGAAGTGGTTTAAACAAAGACTTTTAGTATCACAGCCATGATTTAGCCATAATTTTTACTGAACCATATCAAATCAATTTGAAATATATTGTATCGAATCAAAAGTGCACTGTATTGAAGTATGCATTGTTTCGTGGCCTATGTATCGGGGTATGTATCATATCGGCAACTTTTTAATGATACCCAGCCCTAATGATGAAATTCTATTAGTGTAGTGAACATTCAAACTTTACAAAGAGAGAGGGCCTAGATGGTCTGGCATGGAAACACTACCCGAACCTGGCTATTCTCTACTTCAAAGGTACACTATATAACTTTTGTCTCCACGGAGATATTTGGCTTTATCTGCAATTTTCAGTAGTATGGCAGAAAACGTATCTTGCATTTATTCAGTTTCACAGGTTTTATTGCTAAAGAATACCAACAAAAGGAGGTCCCCAGGGGATCTTAGAAAAAAGGTCCAAACAAGATTATGAGAATTTTAATGTAGGGATAGCATGTTAATTGGTTTTATGTAATGTATTTTAAACAGTTGCTGATATAGCATCTTCATTAAATAGAAAAATAATTATATTTTCCTTAAGACAGTAGCTTATCAGGCAGGAGAATGATGTGGTGGTTGTGAGCTTGTGAATCCACGGATAAAAAAATAGGGGTCACTGGGAGAAAAAGGTTGGGAGATTCTTACTGTGAATGGGCTCTCTATAGAGCTGACCTGTAACCTGGTGGTTTCACTTACTTGTCTCCACAGAAATAAAAAAAAAAAAGGATATAGTCAAACTGTGGAGCATTCCAGACAAGCTACATAGTGCACCTTTGAGTCATTTTGAGGTGTCCTTTCAGTTCGAAATCAATGCCTAACATTACATTTACATTTAACGTCATTCATTTCCGCACATATCCTTTCACAACAAACTGGATTCTCAAAAAAGAATTCCTGTCTGAATGTGAAAAATGTATGCAGGTCTAAAGGTGAACGCATGTCAAGAGTAACCCAGTTGCCCTGCAGCGTGTACACATTACCCAACACAAGTACACAAAGATATATATATATAAGTACATGTATGTTTGTGTGTGGAAATACCTTGCAGGTACCTATGCAGCCCACAGGCCTTTCAGGGCGCCCACTCAGCCCCAGCTTGTTATTGACCGCCAGGAAACGATACGCCTGCAGAAATATGGAGAGAAATCAGATAAACAAGCAGCACCAAGCAACTTTATCTGCATCTGAACACAACACTGTATAGATTAGATTCCTAACCTTTACCAAAAATAAATACTGCACTTTCTCTGGTGGCGTTTTAGTTTTAGATTAAAAATATTCTTTTGATTTGAAAATGTCACGAAGCACAGTTCCATTTCAGAGCGTAATAAAAGCGGAGCCCCGTTATGTGTCTACCCCGCTGAAGTATTTGTGTTGTTGCAGCTCATAAACCGAAATTACCTCCACATGGCAGGACCTCTCCTCATATTAGCCCAGCGTAAACTTATGAGACACAGCCATAATGAAAGGTCCCCATGCTGCCATTGAAGGTGAGCTAAGTAGACCCTCGTGGGCACAGAACCGATGGCAATACTGCGAGTCAAAGTTGCAAAGAGTATAATGAGGACACCACCAACTTAGTCTAAAATAATGACATACACACATGCCCTCATTTTTAGTGTGATTTTTAAAGCAAATATGCAGCAACTTGAATTTGCTTTGAATCTGGATTAGTAGAGTAGACATGGCAACAGGACCACTCTGACCTTATGAAAGTTATGCATTATTTAAAGAACACATATTATGCATTAAAAAAAACCTCTATACTTGAAAACACACTTAACGACACCTCTGTTTCCATTGAGGCATCGGTAACAGAACAAGTTCAGTGATGGCTTAAGGGCTTAAAAACAGCGCAGGTAAAGTTAGGATTTTACCTGTAATACAACAATCCAGGCAAAATGCAAACAGAGCTAAATGCAGCAATTTTTATTTTTTTTTATTTTTTGAGGGTCTCTTTGCCAGATGTGAAAAGAGCAACATGTTGTATAGAAATCTAAATTACTGGGTTTGCTGATTTTATACATCATTACATAGTGAGACAGGTGTTTAGGTGATTACACTGGTAAATAACTTAAATATAATTGTAATTTGTGCTCAAATTGCAATTTCCATTCAGATGCATTTATCTTGCAGCCCAAGTAACAGGTCTAAAAGATGGCTAGCTTCATAGTGAAGGCAATTTTAGCACTGAAATGATGATTGTGGGGACCTTGAGAGACTTATGTAAATCAAATGGAAATGAACAAGTACAATGTAGTGACGTTTCTTTGAATTTCTATAAATGACAAGCTTTCACTTTGATATGCACACACTAAGGGCAGCTTGTATTCATCTCAAAGTACATCTTTGCATGGTGTGTGGAATGCTAACCACTGAAGCATAACTTTAAATAATTTACCTTAATTATTTGAAAGAGATGCACTATATATGAACTGTGAAACTAGCAAAAGTTTGACAATTTTATCTTATTATGCAGCCAAGGCATAGCGTTTTGAAGTCGGAACTGTTTGAAGGACTCCAATGTGAAGGTGAAACACAAGTCAAGTTTAATCTTGTGCAGAAAGCAGAGTTTATTAGCTGAAAACCGTTAGCATCAGCACAGCAGCACAGCACATAGGGAGACGTGACATCCAATGGGGTTGACTGAAGATACAGAGGCAGACTAAGGTCACGTTTGCAGATTAATTGCAAAGTGAAATTCTGCACTTTTTAGCTATTCAGCAAATGTATAAGTAATTCAGATTTCTCAAAACTGTGATCATAATTCAAGAGAAGCCTTGACAGAAATACATCTAGAAAGTGTATTCATGGGAGTTGAAGTTGCCTCAGTACCACTCGCTTTAGCTTTTTTTTTTTTTTTTTAAGAGTTTAATGATCAATGTCTAGACAGTTACACCGTATAGCTGGATCAGTCAACAGTGAAACCAATACTGATTTATAAAAATGATCTCAAACATTTACAAATATGTATGTTATTGAAAGTGTGTTAATAATATAATTTAACTCAATAAGTATTCATTAAAGGGCCAAAATTAAGATATTTTCTGAATGTTGTTTCCTCATCAAAAACATACCAGGAATTTTGTTTTGTTTCATTCACAATGTTTAACACACAAAACTGGAAGATTTAGGCTGAGTTCTTCTCTCAAACAGAAAACAGTCCACCTTGTGATGTCATGTGACAATACAGAAAGTGCTCCACAGTGTTTTTAAACTGCTTACACATTCAATAGAATCATTTGGATAATTTCAGCTCTGCCAAGCTCTACAGAACTAAAAGAAAACAGTAGCAGTTAACTTGAAAACTATCACTTCATGGAATCTTATAGTTGAACGAGACTAATAACAAAGGATTATTCAAACATGTGAAAGAAACAAAAGCCAACTCTGGGTGTGTCTTGATAAGAATGACATTGTAACATACTGTAGGTTAAAGCGCATAAGAATCCATTTTGTGTACTATAGAATATTTAAATACTAGTTCAGTAATTCAATTTGGTGCATTTAGGAGGTCAGACTGTGCTGCCACAAGTGCATTAAAGCTTTGAACATACTGACTGAAAAATGCTTTTTATTGATGTTATGGTAGTACAGGATTTCACAAATTGCAGTAAAAAGTACATAGTAAAATAGTAAATAGTCATTTGGGCTAATTTATCGCATTTGGAGCTTGCCCATAGTTCAGAAATGCATGATTTAGCTGCTCAATTTAGAATAATGGCTTTTTAATGATATTCATTGAAGCTAGCTACTATAAGCTGTAGGCCATTTCAGGTGAATATCTAATCATGTTTAAAAAGCCCACATTAGTTTCTGATCTGTTGTTTCCTCATCAAAAACATACCTGGAGTTTTATTTTGTTTCATTCAGCATGTTTAACACGCAAACGTTGCACATTAAGGCTGAGTTCTTCTCTCAAACATGTGGTAATGCTGCAGGAAATGCTGCATTGTGTTTTAAAACTCTGTATATCGTCATTAGAATCATTTGGATCATTTCAGTCCTGGAATTAACACTCTACTGCATTAGACAGACTAATATTAAAGGATTACTCAAACATGTGTGAATAAAACAAAATCCAACTCCAGGTATGCTTTTGATAAAGTAACATTATAACATAGTTTAAAGCTCACAAAAGTAAATTTTGTGTAATATAGGACCTTTAATGGTGATAAAATGCTAGTACTATACAACAAACTCTAGCTATTTGGTGTGAAGATCATTGCACTCAAACAGAAAACCAATACATAGAGGGACAGCTAAATTAGAAATGATTGCTCAAAGTGCTAGTATCCAATTTGGATTTTATTAACCCAAATGACAGAAAAGGTTAGAGCCCCAGTGTTCTACAAAGCCTTTCAAAATGGCACCTGGCCCAATACACAGCTGTAGTTGAACTGAAGATAAAAGCCTTCTAGCGTGGCACCCCCTGCTGTCAGACACACCTGTTTCAAGGAAGCAAAAAGGAACCAAGATGGACATTGATTTCTGTACGCTTTGAGCACACTGCTGTAATACATAAATATGTCTCTAATGGACACTAGGATTGTCAAATCAGATAATAATCAATGCATCGGTTTTAGGTTCCTTTGGTTTTAGAATGATGAACGATCTGTTGCCATAGTAATAAACAACAAACAAAATAGAGTAAAAAGTTGTGTTGCTTATAATAGGAAGTTGAAAACCATGCATTATTTGGAGGACTTTCCAAATCTAAAAATATTTTCTTTAAAATTTGGTAAGTGCTATGGCAATGGTCTTAATTTCCCATCTTTTCAATACCCATGGAATAGCTACTGAATGTTTGAGCAAGTATCGATACTAAAAATACTGTATTTTCCGGACTATAAGTCGCTCCGGGATATAAGTAGCACCAGCCAAAAAATGCGTAATGAAGAAGAAGAAAAAAGATATATATAAGTTGCACCGGACTATAAGTCGCACTTTTTGGGGGAAATGTATTTTATAAAATCAGAGACCAGGAACCGACTTTTCATCTTGAAAGGCAAGTTATAGTAATAACAATAGGCTATTAACGTAACATATTAACAATTATTAATATAACTAGAGCATAAGCAAAAAAACAGAACAAGTTTACCAAACTCTTGATCTCACTCCAAATCACTAAATCCATTGAATTCTTCATCCTCGGTGTCACTTCTGAGCAACTCCGCAACCTCCAGAGGTCACCTGAGCGTCACGTTCAGCATAGCTGTCATCAGACTCAGCATCAGTTCCAATTAAAATTATTCCGGCTGTTCTGAATCCCAACAGGATGGTTTCAGTTGTCACTGAAGTCCAGGCTTTGTCGATCCACCCAGTGACTTCCAGGAAAATTGCATGGCCACCCTTCAAGTTCCCGTGAAGCTGTGTTCTTCATCCCCGCTTTCCGCCAGTCCCTCACAAGTTTTCTCGCTCACTCCAAACTTTCTTTCTGCTACTCGACTATTTTCGGCTGCATATTTCACTACTTGCATCAGGACAGCGGCTTATTCTTGCACAGTAACGTGCAAAGCGACAGTGATACAGGAGTAATAGGAGTAGCAGATACTGACACACAAGCCTAGAGCGCCCTCTCGCGGCTGTCAGTGTGAACATTTTAATATATAATTTGCACAGTTGAGTATAAGTCGCAGGACCACCCAAACAAGGAAAAATGTGTGATTTATAGTCTGGAAAATATGGTAATAACTTAAACAGGACAAAATTGGACTTTTCCTCAAGAGCTTTATCAGAACTAGTATAAGACCACAAGGTAACATAAAGAAAATACTATCATTTAATGTGTAACGTCCATTTTTATTTTATTTTTTTAATATATATAGTGTTTTTAAAATTATTATTGGGGCACTGAAATCAGTATTGATACTTTGCAGATGTCATCAAAATAGCCTTTAATCTGAGCTTTATTTAACACCTAAACGGGACCATGAACACTTGTATTGAACAAAGGCTCCTAAAAATGTGCTGTTTAAATCCATTTTGTATTTTTTCTTGGGTTTTCAGACCCATCTTAAACATTTTTTGACAGTGTTTTCTAATGTATGCATTGTGTCACCATGGTAACTGCTGCACATTCCTTTTTTATAATTTTTTTTATATTTTATTTGCAAACTACATAT